TTCTCCCCACTCTCCTTTTCATATCAAGAACATGAAGGATTAATACTGTCCTAGATATCAGCTTGGAGCTACGACATGTATTATGCATCGATGTGTGTATATTTATATGTAGCATGCATTACCTGTCTATTGGCATGTACGTGCAACATACATACACATACACACAACGCATTTACCCGAAAGAGTTTAAGTGCACTCAGAGCTGAGTGACAACACCGAAAAGCTGGCTGTCTCGACCAGCTGCTGACAAGTCTTAATCCATCTTTACTAGGCTGTGCTAACAGTAAGGAGCGCAGGATAGCACGGAAGTTTCTTACATCCCTCAGTTTGTCTTTATTTTCCATATTAGAAAAGTGGTGCCTGTGTGGCAACTCAGCCAAGGACATAGAGACCCTCACCTGCTGGGAATGCTCAAGCTTTTGCTTTTACCAGGACAGCCAGAAGTTAAGAAAGAACAGTGACCTTTGGCCTCTGTGGTTCTCAACCTGTAGCCCAGTCATTTTTAAGGAGCCCCACAGTCCAAACAATTTTACTATGCATGGATACTTCCTTCCTTTTCCAGTGATGATGCAAAAGCAGTGGTGGGTAAGGTGTTTTCACATGAATGAAGGTGGAGGCACCAGACCATGCTGGAGAAATTGGAGTCTTCACTGGTACACACTTGCAATTGAAAAAAAAAAAAAATCCAGCATCACTTAATGTCCTTGTTGAAGATGTGAAAATTAATATTTGTCAAACAAATTGATATGAGTTACACACCACTATAGTTTGTTTTGTTTTTGTTTTTGTTTTTGTTTTTTTTGTTTTTGTTTTTGTTTTTTTTTAACAGGCAGAGTGGACAGTGAGAGAAAGAGACAGAGAGAAAGGTCTTCCTTTGCCGTTGGTTCACCCTCCAATGGCCGCCGCAGCCAGCGCGCTGCGGCCGGCGCACCGCGCTGATCCGATGGCAGGAGCCAGGAGCCAGGTGCTTTTCCTGGTCTCCCATGGGGTGCAGGGCCCAAGCACCTGGGCCATCCTCCACTGCACTCCCTGGCCACAGCAGAGGGCTGGCCTGGAAGAGGGGCAACCGGGACAGAATCCGGCGCCCCGACCGGGACTAGAACCTGGTGTGCCGGCGCCGCTAGGCGGAGGATTAGCCTAGTGAGCCGCGGCTCCGGCCTCACACCACTATAGTTTTAATGATTTTGCAACTATTTTAAAATTTCTACAAGTGAAATCGAACATCTTTTCATTTGATGATTGTTTATAGTCCTTGCCTATGTTCCTGCTGGACTACGGTCTTTTCATGTTTTTCTTGGTTAAACTCTTTGTTTAATGGAGCCATTAAGCCTTTGGCTATAATGTAAATAATATAATGTGTGCACCAGTAAATAAAAAATGTTATCTCAAAAAATATTATATTGAAAAAATGCTACTTTAATATCTCTTATCCCTTGACTACATGTGTGATGAAATGGGAAGAAGACACCAAATACTTCTGCTTCATTCAAAGCACTCATACAATGGTTGTCTCTGGGATAGCCCTTATGTGAGCGAGTTGAAAGTAGAATGAACTACTTTATCATATCATACCACTTCTACTTGCACAAAACAACTGACTACTCAGACCTGAATATGTGGCATATTGTGTTCTCAAAATGAATGAAGTTACCCTGACACTTGAAATAGAACTACTAATAATACTTGCTGACAGTGATAAAATTCAAACTTTGAAGTGACAATTAGAATTCTAGAAAACTTGTATTTACCACTGTGTTCCCCATACTTAATTGTTCTGATGGTAACAGTAGTGACATCAATGACTGTTAGGTTTTTTTATATAGAAATTTGTGAACATTTGCTCAGTGATTCAATGTTTTCTACATTACCAATGCACAACATTACAAAATCATACATGGTGGAAGAGTGTGATTAAAAGCACAAGAAGACTAATGAGTTTTAATATAAAGACTTCACAAAGTTCCTTAATCCTGTGTTACAACTAACCTCATCAAATGTTAGTGTAGTCTCAAGAATGAATATCCACAATGTTATGCAAAGGCTGATGAGATATTCCTTCAATTTTCAATCCTGTGGCTCTCTGAGGCCATTTTGTGATTCATACACTTCAACCGAAACAGCATCACCATAGACTGAGTGCAGAAGCAGATATGAAAATCCACTTGCCTTCTACATTAAGTCAGGCATTCAAGAGATTTGCGAAAATATAAAACAATACTTTTTTTGTTTTGGGCGATGGTTATTTTTCATAAAAATATGCATTTTTTGACAGGTAGAGTTAGAGAGAGAGACAGAGAGAAAGGTCTTCCTTTTTCCATTGGTTCACCCTCCGAGTGGCTGCTGCGGCCGGCACGCTGCAGCTGGCGCTGCGCCAATCTGAAGCCAGGAGCCAGGTGCTTCCTCCTGGTCTCCCATGTGGGTGCAGGGCCCAAGGACCTGGGCCTCCTCCACTGCACTCCGGGGCCACAACAGAGAGCTGGACTGGAAGAGGAGCAACCGGGACAGAATCCGGCGCCCCAACCGGGACTAGAACCCGGTGTGCCAGTGCCGCAGGCAGAGGATTAGCCTAGTGAGCCACAGCGCCGGCCAAAATATGCATTTTTTAAAGATGTATTTGTTTATTTGAAAGGCTGAGTTATAGAGAAGGAGAGACATATCTTCCACCTGCTGGTTCACTCTCTAAATGGCCACAACAGCCAGGGCTGGGCCAGGCCAAAGCCAGGATCCAGGAATTCCATCTTGGTCTCCCACACCAATGGCAGGGGCCCAACTACTAGGGCCATTTTCTGCTTCCTTTCCAGGCACATTAGCAGGAAGCTGGAATTGAGAGCAGATACATGACTCAAACCCAGGCACTCTGATATGGGATGCAGATGTAATGCCATGCCAAATTCCCAACCCCAAGTTTCTTGGTTTTAATTTTTAACATGGCAAATATTTATGGGAATAACAAACAAACACTTGGGGTTCTCCTCCTTAAGTTTCAGAGCATGAAAGCTGTTCTGAAACCACAAAGTTTGAGTACCACTTCTCTGTGCTAGTGCACTTTATTCCTGAAATCATCCCTCGCTTGAATGAAAAAGCACAATTCCCCCTCCAAGGTGTAAAGAAACTTATTTTGAAAGAGACAACCAAATCTAGCAAAGAACACGAACTACTGCACGGATAGTTTGCTAATTATCCCTGTCCACACAGCTGGTTAGTCTCCCAGACCTGAGCTGGATGAGCATTGCTCCATGATGCTCACCTGTGTTCATTCATTCATTCATTCATTTATTCAACAAATAATTGTTCAGTACCTTTTGTTTGCCAGGCACTATGGTAAGTGACAGGAATACAAAATAGAATGAGACAATAGCTTCTGAGGAGGAGCTTGGAAGTTGAGATGAGTTCATGCCTGTCTGTGACTGCTCCTGAAATAACTGACAAGACATTTGGGGCAGTGATTCATCCAGGAGGGGGAAAAAAGGTGTAAAGTGTCAGAAAAATCAACATTTGAACTGGTCTGAAATTTTAAAGAGACTGGGACTGTGCAAAGTAAGTTATTTAACAAGGACGTGTGCAGTTTGCCTGCAACATTTATTTTGCGATCATCTATATGCATATTCAGCCCTCAGGAAGTTTTCAGCCTAGTGGTGGTAACAGAATGCAGTTTTCAAACAAGTTGTGTTTTAGTAAACTAAGGAGACTGTTTCAAATGCTGCACAGATGTCAGGTAGGTCCTAAGTGAGAGCATCACCAGGCAGTTAACATTTTCCACACACAGAACAAATGCAAAGAAGGCAAATCCTTGTTTAAGAAAGTCTTGTAACAGCAAGACACAAGGGAGAATGTTAGAACAGTATCCAAAGCTGGAAGCAACAATGAATCCAGAGAAGGAGCTGTGTTTTTATCTGGGGTGTGAATGGTCTAGTAAAGGAGTTATTATGGAAGTAAAACCCAGGAAACAAACAAGACTGGGGAGATCCAGAAGAAAGTGTAGGCTTTTGCCGGCATTTTAATTAGGACTGAATAACAAGGACAGATGTGGAGAGCTAGAGCAGCGAGTATAAGAAGGCAGAAGTTTCCTTACTGGCAACACTTACTCCTTTCCCTAAGTAATAAGGAAAAAAACATTTTTTCTCACAGTAGCAAGAGTGATTAACCTCGAGTCCTGGGTCACCGGAAGGGCAGTGGATAAGGAGTGAGAGAGGAGGGGGCACCTCTTTCTCCCTTTTCCCAAAGCCTCAGGTGCACCTTATCCATTAGTCGACCTAATTTAGATGGAGATAAGGCATTTCCATGGCAAACTGATTTCTCAGAGGAGAAAACCAGGATAAGTTTGAAGGTCACAATGAAATATGAGAAGTACAGGAAACAGAAAAGAAATCCAGACAAAAGCAGAGACAAAAATATAGGCCAGAGAAAATGGGGTCCTCCCCAACCCACCTCCTCCTCTTAGTAAGATCTTTCCTTGTAAGAAACAAGGACCATGTGGGCAACATTGTTTTCTTTCCCCATGGAACAAGAAAAATGCTTTACAAATAAAATAAAGCTCAGTAAGGAATTAATACAAATGAATGCTGAAATAACACTTCAGAAACCAATTTAAAGCAATAACTCACAATGCCAAGATAAACAGCATGGACACTTCAGCGGGTGAGCTGCTCTTGTTGGTGTCATTGGTTTCTGCGTAAGGGCGATAAGGGTGCAGGAACTCACCAGGACTTGGCCACTGTCCTAGCCGTGGTCTCTTTGTCCCTTATGGAGTGCACAAGGAAGCTGATTATTGGGCATTCATTCAGTAAAGGCTCCTGTCTGTTCCGCGGTAGGCTCCTCATTTCCTCAACTGGTGGATTTATTCACTGGTTCATTGAAACACACGTGTGCCAGGGCAGCTGCTGGGCCGACTGGGGCTCTGCTGCTGATGAGCAAAGCAACATTGCAAACACTGATGCCAACGCCATGTGTATGACGTTCTTGTAGATGCATTAATTCACCCATAGTCTCTCCTTTCTCAGAAACATGATTCCAGTGACAGAATTCCGGCAGTTCTCTGAGCAGCAGCCTGCCTTCCGGGTGCTGAAGCCGTGGTGGGATGTGTTTACCGATTACCTCTCGGTGGCCATGCTGATGATCGGCGTGTTTGGATGTACTCTACAGGTAGGTGTCTGAACCTGTTGTAAAATGGGAGTCACAGCAAGACACTAAGTCAATGAAACAACCTCCTATAAAGCTGGCTGTGTGATTGCTTAATCACATAAACATTAATTGCACTTCTCTGTTCGTATTTGGTGTTTGCAATTGTGGCAGGAAGCCTGAAACAAGAGAGTACTTCAAAAAGTTCATGGAAGATGGAAATAAAAGATAAGCTTATTTTGGTGCAGAAAATTGTGAAGTCCATGCTGACAAGGGGTCTGCAAAACTTCATGGAAGGCTGAGGCATTTAGCTTAATGGTTAAGACGCCCACAACCCATGTTGGAGTGCCTGGCTTTGATAACTGGCTTCAGCTCCTAACTCCAGCTGCCCACTAATAATGGTTCAAGTAATTGTTCCTTGCAAATCACATGGAAAACCTGGATTGAGTTCCCGGCTTTGGCCTGGCCCATCCCTAGCTGTTATAGGCATTTGAGGAGTGAACCAATAGATGGAAGCACTGTCTCTCTCTGCACCTCTAAGGCTGTGGAAAATATGTATTATGAAAAAAATTATGCATGGATTTCAAAAATTTTTGCTGCAAAGTTAATACAATTCCATTTCTCCACAAACTTTTTGAAGTATCCTTGTAAGGACTGAACTTGGCTAATATGACAAATAAGATTCTTGTAAAATTTCAATGAGCCCAATTGCAGTTGACTGTAGTCAAGTAATATTTGATGCCAGTAACATCAAAGAGGGTCTGTTGTCTTTCAAAGTTGGCTTTAGAGTGAAATACAGCTTATCTATCAATAGTGCCATTTGTAATGACAAAGTGTAACTTTTTGCTTTTCTTTACCTCTTACACTTATGCCTGATAAAATTTGCTGAAAAACTAACATTTTAATGAGATGTCATGATTTTATATAATGTCTAATTCCAAATTATTGACGTAATGAGAATATAATGTCTAATTCCAAATTAAAATGGAGCCATGTCAAAATTTACAATTATTCTATATTCTTATATTGACTCCAGATATTCTTGGCATACCTGCAATGTGCCAAGCACCATACTTTGAGGACGGGGGTAGCTCTAACCAGGTCATTTCTGGGGGAGACTAAGGAAACCAGCCATCAGGAAAAGTGAGTTATACTGTGATAGAGACCTCCACAGGCTCTGAGGGAGTACAGAGGAGGTGCACTTGGCTTGGGAACGGTAGAAAAGGTGATAGATGAACTAAAACTTAGGAAACAAGTGGAAGAAGGTCAGTAAAAGGGCTCTGGGGGTGGGAGAAGTTGCCAGGAAGAGGGAAGAAAGCTCAAAGTCATGGATGTGAGGAAGAACAGGTCTTTGAGAAACTGTCAGCAGGACTGGCATCGAAAGGGAGTGATAAATACAAGAGTTGGCACCATGCTTGTGAACAGCATCGCCCAGAACATGGTGAGTAAGATGATGTCAGAGACAACATTAAAGAGGGCCCAGCGCTGTGGAGTGGCAGGTAAAGCCGCCGCCTGTCGTGCTGGCATCCCATATGGATGCCAGTTCACATCCTGGCTGCTCCACTTCTGATTCAGCTGTCTGCTATGACCTGGGAAAGCAGTAGAAGATGGCCCAAGTCTTTGGGCACTGCGTGGAAGACCTGGAGGAAGCTCCTGGCTCCTGGCTTCGGATCAGCGTAGCTCCGTCCATTGCAGCCATCTGGGGAGTAAACCAGCGGATGGAAGACCTCTCTCTCTCTCTCTCTTTCTCGCTCTCTCTGCCTTTCCTTCTCTCTCTGTGTAACTCTAACTTTCAAGTAAATAAATAAATCTTTAAAAAAAAAAAGAGTGAGTGAAAAAGAAAGGGGAGGTTCTGAAGAAGACAAGAAGGGGCATCCCAAAGGAGAGGTGGAAATCGGGGAAGGAGGATGTGTCAGAAGTTGAAGGAGGGTGAGGTCTGTGGGGGTGGGTAGTACCCAACCAACCCACAGACCAAGGCCATTAGAAATCTTAGCTTCATGTGTGGGGGCATTTGGCACAGCAGTGAAACTTCCCCTTGGGATGGCCACATCTCATATCAGAGTGACTATGTTCAAGTTCCAGCTCCACTTTCAATCCATCTTCCTGCTAATATACAGCTTGGGAGGCAGCAGGTGTTGGCTCAAATGCTTTGGTCCCAGCCACCTACAGGGGAGGCCCAAATTGAGTTCCATACTCATGGCTTCAGCTGGGACCAGCCCTGGCTGTTGTGGGCATTTGAGGTGAACCAGTAGATGGAAAACCTCTCTCTCTCTCTCTCTCTCTCTCTCTCTCTCTCTCTCTCTCCCTCCCTCTCTCCCTCTCTCTCTCTCTCTCTGACTTTCAAATCAAAGTAATTAAATATTTTTTACAAGAAATTTTAGTTTCAGTGGTTGGAAAAGTGAATGGAAGTTAAAGAGGCTGTGAGAAAATGTGACTTTGAGGTAGAAGAGGTGGAGAAGAGGTAGGATGAAGGAGGTACCTAAAAGTGATACAGAGTAGAAGCAACGGCCTTCTTAAAATCAATTTTAATAAGTTAACACATAGTGCTTTGTATGCGACAGGCATTCTTCTGAAAACAGCATATATTTTAACTCATTTCATCGTGTAGCAATTCTAAGATGTAGGTGCTATTACTAATCTCATGTACCACTGAGACCCCATGACACAGAACGATAAAGAAAATCCCCCAAGGTAAGTGGCAAAGCTGTTATTCAAACCCAGATCATTGGCTCCAAAGTCCCTGTCTTTGATCCCTAACCCTGAGCTGCCTTGTATTTGGTCACTAAAAACATTTCACCCCTTTCTCACCTACCCAAGAAAGGATTCCAATAAGAAACTGGGTCTGAATGAGAGAGCATAAATTCATTTAAAAACAAAACAGATAATTGTTGAAGAACCTTCTGTGTGCCAGGTATTGTTGTACCAAGAATGATCAATGGGCAGAGGAAAAAATATAAAAGATAGAAATCCCAGCCTTAAGGACAGACATTCTCTGGGGAAAATAGCACATAAAATAATCAAAATCAATTAATAGATTATATGCAATAGGCTCCCTTACCTGCAGGGGGTATATGTTCAAGACCCTCAAAGGATAGTACTGAACCTATTCATTCTTCACGTAGATCTTGGCATCCTCCGCATATGACTTTTTTTTCCTTCTTTATTCAGATCCTTTTCACTTACACCCTTTGCAACTTCTCTTGTGCATATCTACATTTCTGGCACCATCCCTCTTTGCTTTAGAGTTATTATTAAAATAAGGGTGACTTGAGCACAAGCACAGTGACAGTCTGTTAACTGAGGTGGCTGCTGAGTGACTTACAACACACTACTGAGAACAGTACAATGTCAAAGTTACAAATTGTTTCTTTCTGGAATTTTCCAGTTAATATTTTTGGACCACAGTTGACCATGGGTAACTGAAACTGCAGAAAGAAAAACTGTGGTTAAGGAGGGACTGCTGTAATATGTTAGAGGGCTCTGGGGCAATGTAAAAATAATAAAATAATAATAATAATAATAATAATAAAACATACAAAGGCAGAAAATGCTAGCAGATGAGATAGGAGTTGTGACTGTTGACCAGGGAATTAAAGGAGGCACAGCAAGAGATGTCCTGCCAGGAGCTTCTAGGCAGAGAGGACAGCAAGAGCAAGGGGTGTGCAGACAACGTTCACAGGACCCTTTCCTTTCTGTGGAAGAACTTGACTTTCTCAGCTGTCCAGCTCTGTTTCCCTGGAGACGTGATAAAGGTCTAATGTTGACTGTTCCTAGGCAACGTTAGTTATGGCATAAATGACTGCTGATTGGCCAGCTGCATCTGGGCTGCAAGAGTGATAAGTGCCTGGTTGGAAGCTGTATCGTTGGACTTCTGTGATTTTGGTGACACAACTAGGTGTGTTTCCTGACACATCGAAGGTGTCTGTTGAGTTACAAGGGATATTGGTTTCTTTACTGCATGAGGCTGTTAAGCCAGGGCAAATCTGGTACCTACCTGTTGGGGATATCTTTTTCCTTGCATTCGGATGGTTTGGAGGAGGAGAGGCACAGGGGGAGACCAGACCTAGCTACAGACCACACTGTGAACAGTTGTGAAGATTTTCCTCCTGAAGGGAAGAACCTGATGCTGCTGTGCTGGCCAGATGCGACTCCGGTCCTGTATCTTTCGAAAGGGGATTCTCCTGCCAAATGAGCTTTATGCTAATCTTATCCATCTGAATGTTAAAGTGGACCGAGAAAGATCCCTGGCAATGTTATAGCATTACAGGCCTGCATCGGGGATGTCCCTGGCATGCTGAAGGGAAACCCAGGAGGCCAGCATGCCAGAGGAGGGAGAGTAGAAGATGAGACCCCAGACCAGTGGGAGCCAGAAAACAGAGGGTCTTGTTGGCCACCAAAAGCTGTTAGGTTTCCCAGTCAGACAGGATGTATGTAGAGGGTTTTCAGCAGAGTGCTGTCATGCTCTGACTTACGTTTTAGGAAACCACTCCAGCTCTGAGAACACAAGAATGGAAGCAGGTGGGAAGGATTATTTGGAAGCCTGGTGCAGTCACCCACACAAGAGATGAATCAGGTGGCTTTGAGCAGGGTAGGAACAGTGGTTTTATGTATATATTTTTGAGAGAAAAAACATCAAAATTTGGTGCAAGATTCAATGTGAAATATGAGGGGGAAAAGAGAAATCAAGGATGGCTCTAAGGGTTTTGTCCTGAGCAAATGGAAAAAAAAAATTTTTTAAGCTTGTTAGTTTTGAGACATCATCAGTCTTCAAAGTGGAGATAGTAGGTAAGTAGTTGAATCTAAGACTGAATTCATGGTTAGTGATGAATGGTCACCTGCTGGAGGAAGGTGGGGAGAGACCCAGATCCCAGGTGGAAGGATGACCCTTGATTTGCTGGGGGTGGGGGTGGGGCATCTTCCACTGAATGGGAATGATGTTAACAGATGCATTTACTTAGGGAGACAAAAAGGTGGAAGCTTATTCCTCATGGGAAGGAGCAGGATGTGGCAGTGAGTGACAGGGCAAGGAGGCCTCACAGAGAAGGCAGGGATGTGGAAAGGCCAGCCTGGTGCACAGACCAGTAGGGGGACTGTAAATCTGCCCTGCTTCACTGCTGTGCTGCAGCTCAAGGCACTGTGGCAGGATCTGCCAAACAAGCACAGAGGATCCTTTCTCTTGTTATGTACTCTGTGCATGATCAAATGCCAAAAAGAGAAAGAACCCACTAATCAGTAAGAACTAGCAGCCAACCTGGAACAAAATGAATGGAAACGAAAGAGCACCCATGGAAGTGTCTGCAATGAACATCGTCTGGAGTTGTGTCTGCAGCAAGTTCAGCAGGGAATTCAGCACAATCTACGTCTTGTCCTGTACCATGGTCAGGATCATTGCCTGCAGCCCTGCCCCTGTCAGGTTTCTCTGCTTCACGGGAAGCCTTTCAGCTCTGACTGACCGCCAGTCCCCCACCACCAGTACCTCCTACCTTCAGGTAGGATGCCTAGCCTGGGTCCTTCATACATCAGCCGGTTTCATCTTTTTGTTTGTTTTAAAGATTTATTTATTTGTTGGAAAGTCAGAAAGTTACACAGAGAGAGGAGAGGCAGAGAGAGAAAGAGGTCTTCCATCCACTGGTTCACTCCCCAATTGGCCGCAATGGCCGGAGCTGCACCAATCCGAAGCCAGGAGCCGGAAACTTCTTCCAGGTCTTTCCATGCTGGTGCAGGAGCCCAAGGACCTGGGCCATATTCTACTGCTTTCCCAGGCCATAGCAGAGATCAGAAGTGGAGCAGCCAGGACTCAAACCAGCACCCATAAAGGATGCTGGCCCTGCAGGCAGTGACTTTACCCACTATGCCACAGCGCTGGCCCCCGGTTCATCTTTATAGCCTTTGCCAAGAAATCGGAAGCCAGTTGACTGAGTACAAGAAGCATTGCCCAAGACACTAGGTTCTGAGAAGTATGATGCCTTGATGACTGTGGCATCAAAAGCTGAAGGCTGTAAGGGCTCAGAGTTCATGTGGGCTGGGTCATTCAATGCAGCAAACATCTGTGGCAGCAGCGATCTGTCAGGCACTGGGCATCCTGCTAGACACTGAGGGAGAGATGTGGCACAGCCCTTGCCCTCAGATGGCTCAGAATCCAGTGGTCCTAACAGTACAGGAGTACCTTCCATTGTCAAAGAGTCATCATGATCCCTCAAGAGCATCCAATCCGGGGCTGTCATCTCAGCCACTGGAAGTTGGAGACCTGAGGAGGAGAACATTGAGCTAAGTCTTAAGGAATGAATACGCAGAACCAAAATAAAATTTTTTACAAGAAGAAAAAAATCGGAAGATTTCGTGTGATGCCTTCACAAACCCTATTTCTTGGCACAGTGGTCAGAGGGACAGATGGCATTTTAGGAGGTGGAATGAGGATTATTAAACATCCTACAGTGCTGGAGAGGCGTTCCCATACAACAGAAGAACGGTCCTGTGCAGAATGCCAGCGGCACTTTCGCTGAGTGACACTGATCCCACCTGGACTAGAATCGGTGCTGTAGTTAGTTCTTGGAATGAGCCTGTGAGTGTAGATTAGTCCCATTTTTCAAGTGGAACTTTTGAAGGCTCCTAGGTAAGTTAACTTGCCAAGAGAACCAGGAGGGCTGTGGCCGGGACTTGAATCCCAGGCTGACTGCGCAGTGTGTGCCTGGACCCGTGCTCACACTGCTGTCAAGTAATATGGAACCATGACATCACAAAGACTGTGTAGCTACAGTTTGGTTTTTAAGACAGGATTTTCAATACAGAAAAAGTGCAAAACGACTCAAAGGGAAAATAGAAAGTTATAAAAAGTATCAATTTTCTTAATTACAGATTGGATTTTTTAAAGAGTATTCACTATATACCTATTATAAAAAAAGATACCTTCCAATTTCATTAAAGAAATAAAAAATAACATGGTCCAAATTACAAAAGAAAGTAAAATTATCCACCCAGGATCTGTATTGCAAATGAAAGTTATGTTGCTTGAGGGAAGAATTTAAACTCTCTTTTTAGCTTCCTATGATAATCCTCTGAAATTGGTTTAATGGCTGACAACTTTATAAACAAAGGGTTCTCTGTGAAGCTCAAATTCTTTCCCATTTCCAAGGTGATATTAAAATAGCTTAATTAAGTTTTTATGCCTTGATTTTTCCTTTGTAAAAATAAAGTACAATAATCTTCTTTCATCTTATTTAAAAAGCAAGCTAACTCTAGATATGAAAATATACAGGGCCTGCATTGTGGCCTGGTGGGTTAAGCCACCTCTTGCAATGCCAGCGTCTCAGAGTGCTGGTTCAAGTTCTGGCTTAGATCCATCTCCGTGCTAATGTTGGGCACCAAAAAGTATGTTGTGCCCAGATCGTTAGATCCCCGCAGAGACCCCCAGAGAGTCGATCACACCGAACTGCAAAAGTAAGGTTTATTCGGGAGTACAAGCCGTGACAGGGACCCCATCCAACCAACCGGCACAGCGGAGGAAGAAGTGAGGCCCCGGTCTTTGGGAGAGTTTTTAAAGGAAAAAAGAGCTACATCAGCAGGAAAAAAGAGTTACTTACAGCATGGAAGCTCTGGGGACAGGGAGTTACAGCGGGGGCCTACAGCACAGGAGCTCTGGGCACAGGGAGTTACTTTGTTTAGCAATATCTACTGTGCTGTCCTTGGTCTACCGAGCTAGCTGTCCCTGGTAAGCTTTGATATCTCCGGAATGCCTGAATGCCTACTTTTACAAGGACCCGGGTCTGCTATGGGAAACGGAAGCTGCTTTTTTTTTTTATTGTTTTAAAATGGAGTCACTTTGGTTCTTCACTAACATGCCTGGGAGGACAGCAGATCATGGCCCATGTTCCTGGGTCCCTGCCCTGCCATGTAGGGACCTGGATGGAATTTCTGCCTCCTGGCTTCAGTCTGGTCCAGGCCTAGCCATTGAGGCCATTTGAGCAGTGAACTGGCAAATCAAGGATCTCTCTCTATATATCTCTGTCTCTCCCTCCCTCTGTGTCGCTGTGCCTTTCAAATAAATACATAAATAAATCTTTTGAAAAATGACAATACAGCAAAGCAAAATCTAAGGTATCATTAGAAAAGCAGCTCATTGATGATAAAATTGTAATACAACAGCTTTTTCAGTATTTTGTAAGTTGACTCTTCCATGGCAAGTAGCAGTTGGTGATCTGTTAATACTAAAAAGTTGTGTTTAACACAACCAGTGAAACTTTGAGAATACTCAGGGAGGGGTTTATCATCTATCAAAGATCTGTTGATTCTTTCTGATGCCCTGATAAAGAAGGATTAGAATCAGCACCCTTGTCTTACTCATCTGACAAATATTTATTCATTTCTGAGCAAGTAGCTATTTTCAAGGCTGCTATGAAATAAGAGCATATAAAGAGAGCATTCCTTAGATTACATCAGTCCACATAAGAAACAGTTATAAAGTCACTGTAAACCAGTAGAGTGTAGGCGTCTATGTATCCTATGCCTGTACAGTCATATACCCTCAGGGCCAGTAGTGTAAACCTGACTTTTTGTGCTATAAACACCACCACTCAGACACTCAACACACTCAACAAAATAGACCAAATCCTGGAAGGTCAACATGTTGCTTCCTGGAAAAATGAGATTGCTTTAGATCTCTGCTCAGTGACTCCAGGTTATCTTATTATGACAGAATCTAAAACAGCCCACAGGCAGGCCACGACCAAATATAGAGTTTGCATTTAGCAACCAGAAGCAGGAACTGGAAGATGCAAGGCCTCTGGGAGCCCTGGGGGACCTGCTTTGTGATTGTTATACAGGAAAGACACTTCCTGCTTTCTGAATTGGGGGGGGGGGGGGAGAATGATTTAAATCATTTGAAACCACCTACAAAAATTCCTTGCAGACTTCCCCAGTCCCTAGGAACAAGCCAGCCATTGGGGTCAGTGTCAGAGTTTGGGACATCTGAGTTTGTTGGTCAAAACTGATCCCACTTTGATTTTTACTGCATACTGAGGTTGGTTTCTGCTTCTCTAATTTTAGAGCCATTAATGTCAGCTTCATGGAAAATGGCCTTCTGGTGAAAATGCTCAAAACAGTTCACTGGAAGGTACAGGCAGTAAATATTATAGATTCCAGAGCAATTTGAAGAGTAGATTTGGATAATGTACCCTGAAGCCTTGCTTCTACTCCATTCCCACACTCCTCTGTCCCATACTTTTGGGCATTTCTAGCAACTTTCTTCTTTTGCCAAATTTGAATATGTAAGTTAAGGCCCATAAATTTTTATGTAGATTAACTCATTGTTTAAGCTGAAATTCTGAATACTGATGAAATATCAGATGGCACCAATGGATAGGCTTAAAATCAAGACCTCATGTAAGATTTGTTTTATGTGGTGCTGGGAAAACTGTATCTCCACATGCAGAAGTATGAAGCAAGACCCCTACCTTACACCTTACACAAAAATCCACTCAATGTGGATTAAAGATATAAATCTATGACCTAACACCATCAAATTATTAGAGAACATTGGAGAAGTTCTGCAAGACATTAGCATAGGCAAACATTTCTTGGAAAAGACCCGAGAGACACAGGCAGTCAAAGCCAAAATTAACAAATGGGATTACATCAAATTGAGAAGTTTCTGTACAGCAAAAGAAACAGGAAAGTGAAGAGGCAACCGATAGAATGGGAGAAATTATTTAAAACTATGCAACTGATAAAGGATTAATAACCAGAATCTACAAAGAGATCAAGAAACTCCACAACAACAAAACAAACAACCCAGTTAAGAGATGGGCCAGGGGCCAGTGCTGTGGCATAGTAGGTTAAGCCACTACCTGCAATGCAGCATCCCATATGGCCGCCGGTTCAAGACCCAGCTGCTCCACTTCTGATCAAGCTCTCCGCTATGGCCTGGGAAAGCAGTAGAAGATGGCCCAAGTCCTTGAGCCCCTACACCTGTGTAGGAGACCCAGAAGAAGCTCCTGGCACCTGGCTTCAGAGCAGCTCAGCTCTGGCCATTGTGTTCATTTGAGGAGTAAAACAGCAGATGGAAGACCTTTCTCTCTCTCTGCCTCTCCTTCTCTCTCTATGTTGCTCTGACTTGCAAATAAATAAATAAATCTTAAAAAAAAAAAAAGAGAGAGATGGGCCAAGGACTTAAACAGATATTTTTCAAAGGAGGAAATCCAAATGGCCAAAAGACACGTGAAAAAATGTTCAGAATCACTAGCCATCAGGGAAATGCAAATCAAAACCACAATGAGGTTTCACCTCACCCCGGTTAGAATGGCTCACATACAGAAATCTACAAACAAGAAATGCTGGTGAGGATGTGGAGGAAAAGGTACCCTAATCCACTGTTGGGAATGCAAACTTGTAAAGCCACTATGGAAGACAGTTTGGAGATGCCTCAGAAATCTGAATATAGTCCTACCATGTGACCCAGCCATCCCACTCCTTGGAATTTACCCAAGGGAAATGAAATCAGCAAATAAAGAGCTATCTGCACCTCCAAGTTTATTGCAGCTCAATTCACAATAGCTAAGACATGGAATTAACCTAAATGGCCATTAATGGAAGACTGAAAAAGAAATTTTTGGATATGTACTCTATGGAATACTACACAGCAGTAGAAAAAAAAAGGAATCCAGTCATTTGCAATAAAATGGATGAATCTGGAAAACATCAGACTTAGTGAAATAAGCCAGTCCCAAAGGGACAAATATTATATGTTCTCCCTGATCTGTGACAACTAACAGAGCATTTAAAAGAAAACTTGTAGAAGTGCAGTTGAGACTGTGAGAAGCAATGACTTAATCAGCCCCTTGTCTTGACTGTTGAGGAACAGTTTATTATTGTTTTACTTTTTCTTTTTCTACTTAATACCATTGGTTGAACTCTTTACTTAACACAGAATTATTCATAGGTGTTTAAATCCAATTGAAAATTGATCCCAGTAAGACAGGAAGGAGATGTACAGTTCGGCACATGTTCCCACAGACTTACCCCTAAGGGTAAAGCTAAAAACTTGCCATGGGACTCCAAATCCCATTAAGTTTTCAGATACTAATGCCATCTTACATGTTAAAGTGATCATTTTAAGTGTGTAACTGATCATATAAATAGGAATAAGTGTCAAAGGAATCACATAAATAAGAGAAAGTGTCTGCTAATAATAATAGATAGAATTAAAAAGAAGAGAATGATCCAGCATGGGAAGCAGGCCATACAGTAGACTCATAGAATGCCAAAGGCCCTAAACAGCACTCTGACCTCAGAATCAGCCCTTAAGGCATTTAGATCTGGCTGAAAAAGCCCATGAGAACATTTCAGGCATGGAGAGCCAAGACACTGTGGCAAAAATGGTCTACATGAATGATCTCTGTGAGTGAGACCCCAATGGAAAGAAGGGGCCATCAAAGAAGGATGTGCTTTCCTCTGAAGGGAGGAGAGAACTTCCAATTTGCTTATGGCCCTATCTGAATACTGATGGGATTTTTGGACTCAGAAGGCTTCCATAGCCTTGGAAGCTCATGACAAGAGCCTTGGGTGGTCACTGACATCATAAATAAGAGTGCCAATTGTTAAATCAACAACAGGAGTCACTCTGCACTAGCTGCACATGTAGGACCTCTGTCCTTAATGAGTTGTACTATGAGAATTAATGGTAAAACTTGTCTTCAAGCATACTCTATACTTTATGTATCTTGTGGGTGCAAACTGTTTAAATCTTTACTTAGTATAGAGTTGATCTTCTGTATATAAAGATAATTAAAAATGAATCTTAATGAAGAATGGGATGGGAAAGGAGTAGGAAGTGGGATGGGAGTGGGGGTGGGAGGGTGAGTATGGGAGGAAGAATTGCTATATTCCTAAAGCAGTACCTGTGAAATTTGTATTTATTAAATAAAAGCTAAAAATAAAAAAGTAAAAAAAAAGTTTAAAAGATCTATTTTATGAAGTTTCTATATACCCACTACAAGGGACCATTGTACTGAGTCTGGAAGAAAACAAAGCAAAGGTCATTTGGATGGTAAAACAGTTATAAAGAGCAGTCTTTCTTATGTTTGTTGGGCTGGTAGTGAGTGCCATGAAACACAGTTTGAAACCTCTGTACATCTAGTAACAAAAATATGCCTTGGTTAGGACTTCCTTGTTATGGTGGTTTATGAAAACTCATACTTTTGACTTTGTCTAGAACTTTACTTCTTGTCACCTACCACCTTGATGAATTACCAGCCACAAGAATAATGTTTGAGTCCTGTTCACCTCATCCTCTTGGGTTTAATACAGAACACAAATATAAGTGCTTTTCTTAGATCAGCTGATTCCATCCAGTGCCAGGCAGTGAGTGGGGATGTTTCCTTTTATCTCACTAATATAGATTGTTATGGCCTTGTTGCCTGTTGCTTGTTTAGTAATACACCTTTTCTTCCAATAATACAGCACTGATAGATCATCAGCCTTTTTAGTATGCAAATGAGATTTACTACTATCTAGTCTCTGTTGTTCCTGCATGAGAATCACTGAAGCCTTTGTTTAAAGGCTCATGTCTAATAGGTTCACCATGACATGGAAAATGGTGACTTTGTCTTGTTATCAGTCACTTGACTTGGAGATCCTCCTTGGTCCTCCAGTTCTATCAGGCAAACAGACTCCTTCACCACTTACAGCCTCTACCTTGCTCCTCTTGAAGTACTCTCTTCATTGCATTGAGAATGTTGGAAACATGTGGATCAACTTGGCACCTCAGGGGCCATGCAATGAGGGTTAGGCTAACATTGGGACCATTTGTTAACTATAGGATGGGAATTCCCTAGCTTAAATTTGGATTCTCCTATTTAGTATAAAAAATGAATGCCTATTTCTTCCCCTTTGCTACTGTTTTTCTTTGTAAAACACTGCCTTCTAATGTTTATTTTTATAATTCCTATCATGTTAAAACATCTGGCCTTTGTATAGCCAAAATATACACACACGTTAATCCAGCCATATTGTTTTGTGCCTGCTTTTTAAATTTTGAAATAAAATACACCCAACGAAAAAGATACATAACGATCAAAAAATGTAACAAAAAATGAGATCACATGCAAGTTAGCAACAATAATTTCCAAGTATTTGGGAATTATGTCAACCAAGAATACACAAGACTTTTCTAGAAAAGTTTTGAATGTCTAATAAATGACATGAAAGACATTTAAATAAATGGAAATATATTCCATGTCCTTGGGTGGCACAGAATTGATGGGTCTCCAGTCCTCACAAATTATTTTATGAATTCAAGGCAATATTAATAAAACTCCTGCAATAGCTTTTTGTCCCTACAATGAAATATCTGAGAAAAGCTAATGTTCAAATCTAAGATCTGGTGAACCCATGGGTGGGGCACCTGGGGAAGGATCCCAGGGCGAGCCAGAAAGGGGGCTGGGCTGCTTCCTGTTTGGGCTTTTGGAATCAACCCTCTCGAAGAATTACTTCCTGAGGGCACGCCTCAGTGACCTAAGAACCTCACACTAGACCCACCTCCTAAACACTGGAAGTAGACTGAGGAGATCTTGAGAGCAGATGGCAAATTCTTAAAGGGCTAATGTGAGTAGTTTAAATGGCTTCAACTTATTACGCATGTTTTAGAAAATTAACTAGAACTCATAGGTGCTTTAAGAAAGAAAATTTTGGCTTAATACAAACACAAATTTTCAAAAAGTCAAGAAGTTTTTGAAAATGTTATCTGAGATCAACCCTTGGGACATTCGGATCTGGCTAAAAGGTCCATGAGAGTCTCACAGGCATGGAAAGCCATGACACGGTGGCAAAAAAACAATCTAAATGAAAGATCCTGGTGAACAATACCCCAGCAGAAGGAACAGGCCATCAAGGAGAGAGGCGCCTTTCTCTGAAGGAAGGAAGGAACCTCCACTGTGATACGACCTTGACTAAACAAGTTCAGAGTCGGTGAACTCAAGGGGCTTCCATAGCCTAGACAGCTCATAGCAAGAGTCTCGGGTGATTGCTGATGTCATAAATAAGAGTGCCAATTGTTAAATCAACAATGGGAGTCACTGAGTACAGGCTCCCCATGTAGGATCTCTGTCCTTAATGTGTTTTACTATGAAACTTAAAAACAACACTACTAGTCGAACAATGCCCTATACCTTGTGCAGTTGTGTGAGTGCAGCCTGTTGAAATCCTTGCTTAGTGTGTACTAAGTTGATCTTCTGTATATGAAGGTGATTAAAAATGAAACTCGATGAAAGGCGGGATGGGAGAAGGAGTGGGAGAGGGGAGGGCCGCGGGAGGAAGGGAGGGTGGGGCAGGGAGCCACAATAATACAAAAGTTGCATTTTGTAAATTCACATTTATTAAATAAAAAAAAAGAACTTATGGGGGGAAAAGCCATTGTAATTCATAAACTGTACTTTGGAAATTTATATTTATTAAATAAAAGTTAAAAAAAAAAAAAGAAAATGTCATCTGAGGTACTAAGTGTCCAATTGGGGATACCCATCTAGAAGGATGCCCATCTAGAAACTGAATGGCTTGGTTAAAAGGAGAGTCCATGTGTCCCAAGAACCATTCATTCCTTAAATATGAAAGCTCTAGGCAGTAAGATTTGGCAGTAATAAAAATGACAGTCTCTACCAAAAAAATCTATATCTATATATCTATATCTATATCTACACCCACACACACACATACACACACAATTTAAGAGTCAGGCATTGTGGCATAGCAGGTTAAGCCACCATTTGTGACACCTGCATCCCATACCAGAGTGCTGGCTCAAGTCTCTACTAATGCATCCTGGGAAGTGCTGGTGATGATTCAAGTGCTTGGGCCCTGCCACTCAAGTGGGAGACACAGGTGGAATTCCTGGCTCCTGGCTTTGGCCTGGTCCAGCCCTGACTGTTGAAGGCATTTGGAGAGTGAATCAGTGGATGGAGTATCTGTCTCTCTCTCTCTCTCCCTCTCCCTGTCTCTCTCTCTGTTGCTCAGCCTTTCAGGTAGATGAAATAAATAAGTAAACATTAAAATACAATGGCAGCAGTAGCTATTTGGCCTAGTACTGAAGATGCCTGTGTCTTATATGAGAGTATCTGAGTTGAATACAGTGTTCCAGCTTTCTGCAAATACAGACCCCGGAAGTAGCAGTGATGGGTCGGGTAGCTAAGTTCCTGCCAGCACATGAGTGATCTAGATTGTGTTACTGGCTTGTGGCTTTGGCCCCAGCCCAGCTCCAGCTGTGCAGGCAATTAGAGAGTGAACCAGTGGATGGGAGCACTCTTTCTCCCTCTCAAATAAATATTTTTAAGAATAAAATACAATATCAGATATAAATGCTTTGCAAAAATAAAGCCATGTAACAACAGGAAATGTGGGATGGTCACTGGAATCCTCCCTGAAAAGGTAACATCGAGTGAAACAAAAAGGGTTTCTGCAAGAGGAACATTCCAGGAAGGGACCAGCGTCTCAGGTGGAGAGGGAGAAAGTGACCCCCTTCTAGTGTTTTCCTGCTTTATCCACTGTGTAAGGCTTGAGACGAGCATTGACCCAAATTGAGCATCTGCCATCTAGTGTCCTGGAGCACTTGTGATCCCATAAATATCAGGTGTCCTGGATTTAAACTTCCAGCTTTACATCTGACTTCTTGGAGTTAGGACAAAGAATTTAGTGCTAAAGTATCTTGGAACTTGGGACCATGTGAATTTCCAAAGCAATTATCAGTACCTCTCCAATGGGACTTAACCAGTGACAGAGTATAGCAGAAAATGGTACAAACGTGTTTCATTGCTCCTACAAGATTTTGAGTTACATACAGGCGACATTCATGTCTCATTGACCTTTATACCAGGCACAGTACCTGAGACTTAACACATATTCAAGAAATATTTATGGAATGAATACAGTTCTAGTTTAGCAACACAAAGGATCATTGACTATCTGAATGATAAAAATGTAACAA